CCCCCCATTTTTTTTTTCAAACAGGCAAATCGCCTTTATATTACAAATCTGTTTTTCAAGGTTTGGGCTTGAAGGAAGCCAAAACATGCATGTTAATGGACTTAGAGTATGGAAAAAATCTGTGCAAACATGAGGAAAACATGCAAACTCCACACAGAAAAAACCCAGGCCCAACCCAGGGTTTGAATCCAACAAAACAAATCAGATTGGCTTCTCTTGCACACTTAAAGAAAACTAATCAGACATCTTGGCTTCAAAAGTTTACACTTTTAAAGTTCAGCTTTTCTAGACATAAAATTATATCTGATAATTGTCTCTTGTGTATTCAGTATTATCTTTTTACTGTTTAGCATTTTGTGTGCAGTACTTTTGTCAAGGCTAATTGTTTTTAAATGTGCTATTTGAATTAATTTTACTTAATAACAAGCTTCAATAATAAACATATTTGCATTTCATGCAGGCTTGTTTTTACCCCCCCCCCCCCCCCTACAGGATAAAACTTTTGTGGTTTCTTTTGTGTTTGCTTTTTTCTTGATATCTACAAATCAATAAGTAGGAGGAAACTGTGCTCTAATATATGTTGAATATGAGAAATGTAAGTGTAACTCTTGAGTTTTTATATGCAAAAATAATGTTTGTTCTAGTTGATTTGGTTGCAATTGTACACTAATACAATTGGGAATACCACGTGTCGTCTTCTTCTCTGCCTGCAGGGGGCAGCAGAGCACAACCACTTTGTTATCCCCACTTCATGCTGCTGAATGACCAGAAACACAAAAAAATCAGTGTCTATATGAAGATGGCTAACTAACTAACAAAAAAAAGCAACAGATAGAAACATGTTTGCTCAGGATGTTGACCAGTTTGGTTTTTTTCTTAATTCAGAACTCAACAGGTGAAATGGGAGCAAACCAGTGCAACATTCAAATAAAATGTGTGTTGCAGGAGCTGCTCCTCTGAGGGCCTGTCTTCATGAGGGAGTTGGTTTTATTCACTCCCTCCCTCTTAGTCCTCCTGTAACATGTCAGACATACAGATGGACAGAAGATGACATTTTCTCTTGTCAGTAATGAGAAGCCCTCAAGTGTTTCATGACTAACAATGCTTCATAAGACTGTATGGTTAAACTTGATAATAATTTCATTTCTAATAATTTTCGTTTGTCTGATTTTTTTGCTGCTTGACTATCATTTTTATCAGTTATTGTACACATAATTTAAATGTGTGCACTATCTAAACTCATTTTAAAGCTTTTCTGATTCATAAAATACATTAGCCAGGTATATTTTGAATGTAAAAAAAAGGCTAACTCAGTCCCTGATGTGTATCTGTAAAAGATATATCTCTCTGTCTATGGTATGGTCATCTTGCTGACAAATAGATGGCACATAGGCCCCACAGCATGTGGGTTTGTTCAACCATTTGCAGCGATGGTGATCGTGACTGTGCACAGGGCAGTTCTCAAATGCTGCTGTGGAGACCATCTGCTGAGCAAAGAGCAAACAGAAAAAGGCACAGTCTGTTTCCTGAAGCATGCCTCATCCTCACATGTCCACTGTGTCATTGTGCTTATTGAAAAAGATTTGTTCAAACACAACATGGACAATAAATTGTTTGTTTTCTCTTAATGATGGGACACTTTTACAGTCTATATGTAACTGTAAATGAATATTTTTTATGATGTTAAATCAAAGTATTCTTTGCAGTCTAACTACTTCGGTGTACTTTATGCTGTTTTAGCCTTCCACATATTAAAATATTCAATTCCTTCAGGAGATGGATGCCATTACTTTTGTGTTTTGTAACTTTTATATTTTTCAAACGATTTAACTTTTATAATTATTTTACTCATATAAGATCTCTTCAGTTCCTTTGAAAACCTTGTTGAATCTTTAAAATCTGCGTCAAGCTTCCTGAAAGCTACTTTTAGCTTTCAACATTTTGCTACCTTTAGCATAGCTAACTTTTAGCTACATTCAGTTTTCAGCTACATGGTTGATGATTTTAGCAATCAATCAGCCTTTTGTTTTTAGGTAGTCTTTTCGTAGCCTTAGCTTTTAGCCATTGTTTTGTTCTTAACTCAGTGTAAGCTTTTTAACCAGCCATTCAGCACTCCTGCTGCATTTTCTTTAGTTTTTATTATTTATCCATCCATTACTATTATTATTATTATCAAAATTATTACATGTAAATCATGCATTAAGCTGGAAAAATGTCCTGAGAATACATATTGTCTAATTAGAAAATTTTGAGAACAAGACCCAAAAGTTTGCATTCCTGAAAGACAATGTAATATTTATTTACAAAGGACCATTTTTAACACAACTCTACTTAAAAAAATTAGTCAAATAGAAGACAATAAAGAATTTACAATTTGTGAATCAAATGCTGGCAACTCTCCCTAATAATAATAATTATTATTATTATTTTATTATTATTATTTTATTATTATTATTATTGCTTTTGTTATGTATTTAGTCATGTCAATATTTTGTTTAGTGGTACTATTTTGTATGCTAGATGGAAGAACACTAAGTGTGGCGTATGTGCGCATTGATCTGCCTGTGTTCTTCGGCAAAAGTAAGTCATGTTCAGGTTCCGTAGAGCTCTGGTTTATAATAATTAAATTATGCAGAGAGAACATAACAATGATAATAATAATAATAATAATACAGTAATAATAAAACCTTTGATAAACATTGTTGATGAACGTAATAGCTCAGTTTAGCTGTTTTACAGCTAACTTGAGGAGATGATCTCGCAAACTCTCGCGATATTTGACCCCTCACTGACGTGAAGTGGAGCTATTCTGTGGGAGTGAACCACGGCAACGGTGAACACACAAACCAGGTCAGAAAGCTGTTTTAATAAACTCTAAACTTTTAGAACATTGTTTTGTGAAACTTTAAACTTTATTTTGTCTGTGCTGCACCAGTGACCTTATTGCGTGTTGTTTTTTTGGTGATTATAGCTCATTTTCAAGTTGCTTCCTGTCACAACCTCCAGCCTGTAAATTATCTACAACTGGAGTTATAAGCGAGTGTAGCTTTAAGACTTTAACGAAGCTCAGGACCTTCACTTAGCAGTCCAAAGGTCCATCTGGTGCAGGCACTATAAAAATAACAATGTAAATGATTTGACATGTCTGTGCACACACATTTACCCTCCTGTCTTAGAGCTGCAAAGACTCCACTTGCTTTTTCTTGTATCTACATCAACCTCTGCATCTTCTCGGGTTGTGGGACTTGGATCAGAGCATCATGTCAGCGTTGAGTGGAAAGGTCCAGACTGTCCTGGGTCTGGTGGATCCTGACCAGCTGGGCCGCACCATGACCCACGAACACTTGACCATGAGCTTCGGGTTCAACTACACCCCACCTCCGCCTGGTGACGAGAAGGTAGCGGAGAACCCCTTCCAGATGCAGCACATGCACTGGCTCAGGCAGTACCCCTACAGCTGCCGGGAGAACCTGTTCCTGCAGCAGGAGGTCAAGACCTTGAGGGACGAGCTGCTGGCCTTCAAGGTGGCAGGTGGGGGCACGATAGTGGAGAACACCACGACGGGGATCGACCGGGACCTGCCTGCCCTCCGACAACTGGCCAAAGACACCGGGGTCCATATTATAGCTGGAGCAGGGTTTTATGTGGACTGCACCCACACTGAGGCCACCAGGACTATGAGTGTGGAAAAGGTCTGTTGAGCTCAAAAAGTTAAAGAAGTTTAATCTTTTAGCCTAAAGGTTTAAAAAGTGCAATATTTTAGCTGTTTGAATGTGTCTGCAGTTTTGCTGCTGTAGCTTTATAGCTCCTCAGATAAATATTGTCGTTTTGACAGTTTGATCAATCACACTTTCTCAACTCTTTGTGTTAATATGCAAGATTTTTCTCTGTAACTTGGGATTGATTTGAATGGATCTCTGCCTGCTCCGTTCAGTCTCTTCGTATTGACAGCGTGCACGCACTCGTATTGTTATTCAAACCTGGTGCTCCGTTTATGAGCACCAAGTTTGTTTATAGAGCGGGAGAGAAATCAGAAAGTGTCAATTGCTTGTCTAAAAAGAGACGGTTTTCATGTTTAACTCCTGTCAGCTCACAGACATCATCATCAGCGAGGTGCTGCACGGGGCCGATGGCACGGACATCCGCTGTGGCGTGATCGGCGAGATCGGCACCGGCTGGCCCATTACGGAGAGCGAGACGAAGGTGTTGAGGGCCACAGCCCACGCTCAGGCTCAGCTGGGCTGCCCTGTTATCATCCACCCCGGCAGGAATCCTGCCGCTCCAGCGGAGGTGGTTCGGATTCTCCAGGAGGCGGGTGGTGACATAAGCAAAACGGTCATGTCTCACCTGGACAGGTGAGACAGCTGTCAGATACAAACACCGCATTAACGGCGTTGAAGGAATGCCAGAGTCTGACACAGAGATCTTATGTTGCGAAACAAAGTTAAGGCTCTTTTGGTCAAACTTTTAAAATAACTATGTACTTTGCAAGATGTCACAACCGAAGCAAGGGTTGTGGATGACTCGGTTTAGACCAGCACAAGAGACGCTTGTGCTCCCTAGTAGCTGGTTTACTCTTAGCACCTAGTGGTGCTTAAAAGTATGTGCTGAGGATTATTCTCATGTACTACCACACCAAATACTAGCTTTGTAACTTTGACTGGGCTATAACTAGTTTAGCGTTATTTACGTTTAGTTGACTCAGGCTGACTCCAAAAGTTAAACACTTGTAGGTGAACATCCAGTGGTTACTTTCCGAGTTTCTTTAAAATTATGGAGATGTTTGCTAATAAACTGACACAATAAGGCAAAAACAGGAGAATCCTTCCATTTTTTTATTGCACTACTAAAACACTTCTTTTCTTAAGTATTTAAAAATAATTGTTTATTGTGTTGAATATGATTAAAATAATTGCTAAATGACTAAAACAGCTTATTTACTGTTACATAGGTGTGAAAAGTGGAAGGTTTTCTTTAGAGGTGATGTGAGATTAGTAAAATTTAACAGCTTCTATTGTACAAAGTTTATCACAGTCTGAATGAGGCTGATTATTTAAAGTAAAAATGTGCTTTAATATAGTTTTATGGTCAATGATTATATTTATTCACTTGCTAATTTGTTCACTTCCTTCTCAGATCTTTTGTAAAGAATGCAATTTGACTGATTTTAAGTTTTTTTCTCACTTATAATAGCTTACATCCCTCCTGAGGTGCTTGTATCAGTAAGCGTTTCGTTTATTTTTTACAGGACTTTATTCGACGAAGGCGAGCTGCTTGAGTTTGCAAATTTGGGGAGCTACCTCGAGTACGATCTGTTTGGAGTGGAGATTCTGAACTACCCGTTTAACCTGGAAGTGGACATGCCCAGTGACAGCCAGAGAGTGAAGGCGTGGGTGACACTACTCTTAATTGAAACCATATTTTTCTGAGTATTTCTTGGTATTTTTTGTCTTAGCCCCCTAAGACCCGGACTCTTGCATATGTGGATGCCAGGTCCTAGGAGGTTAAACACATTCTGTAATACAGTAAAATCTGTTCTCATCAGAAGTTAGGATTATTAGCTCTTTATGCAGTTAATAAACTCTGGTTGATGTTCATCTCTCTCAAAAAGAGGCTAAAACATATGCTAACAAGCTGATTTGTGATTTTAATATGTGCATTACTTTTTTAGTATTTATGACAGTTGTATATCAATATTTGGGTCCCTTTTTACAGTAAGGCTTCCCTTATAGATGGCTAATAAATAGTTTATAGATATGTTATTAATTCCTCTATAAACACTTTATAAATCATTAATAGCTGCTTATTATGCATTAATTAAGGGCGACAGAGACAAAACTGACCTGTTTCTTGCCAAATGTGTTCACCTGTATATTTCATCTAGAGTTGTTATATTAAACATTTCAGACTAAGTTACTACGTTGTGAGCACAATATGCATTTGTAAACATTTTTTTAGGATATATTAGTTGTAGATAATTATAATGCAGTGATAAAGTACAATATTATATGCTAAAGAAATAGGTTTACAAATGCTTATTGTGCTTACAAGGTAGTAACTTAGTCTGAAATGTATAACAATTCTAGATGAAACACATATTTGAACAGATTTGTCTCACTATTGGCAAGATACTGGTCAGTTTTGTCTCTGTCACCCTTAATTAATGCATAATAAGCACTTATTAATGATTTATAAAGTGTTTATAGAGGAATTTAAAACGTATCTACTATATATTAGCCATCTATAAGAGGAGCCTTATTTTAAAGTGGTACCAATATCTGTGTTTCAAGCTTGGCGTTCCTGGTGAAGGAGGGCTATGAAGACAAGATACTGATGGCGCACGACATCCACACCAAGCATCGCCTGACTAAGTTCGGCGGCCATGGCTACGCTCACATCCTGAAGAACATCGTGCCAAAGATGCTGACGAGGGGCATCTCGCAGCACCAGGTGGACAAAATCCTCATCGACAATCCTAAACACTGGTTGACCTTCAAATAATCAAATACCACCACCCCACCCCCCCACCCCCAACAAAAAAAAGACACATCAAAAGGGATGTTATTCAATTTTATTTTTATGTGACTACTCAACATCTCACATTGAACATTTGGAGATATTTGTAACGAGACTCATTTAGGAATAATGTGCCACTGGTGTCTTCATTCTTAATGAATAAATGTCTGTAATTTTTAAGGTTTTTCCACAAAGTGTCTTGTAACTTTGTCTTTTTCATTGGAAAATAATGATACGCAGCTGTTTTATCCAGCTGAGACATTTTTCTCGGTGCCCCCATTAATTAAAACCTAAATTTAAGTTTGTGATCCTCCATTTGTCACCTTGTTAGCAGATTATTTCCAGGAGTCTTATGGGCTCACTGCATCTCGCTTTTAGCAGCTTTTGGCCTGTCTGTATGAGGTCGAAGTGGTGAACGCAATCAAAGAACATCATTTTCACCCTGCAGTGGTGCTCACACATATGGTGCTACAAAAACTGTTTCAATTTAAACATCATCACTTCTCTCCTTCTATTTGTGACATCTCTGCAAACGCGTTATCTGGAGGGAAAATAATGAGTCTGTTAGTAATCAGTATGCTGCTCGGATCTTGACACGATGTGTTGGATGAGTTGTCCCGTTGCCCCTCGCTTGGTGTCTGTGTCTACAGGAGGCTGGCGGGGCTGGCACAGATGAAGGACGCGTCCTGCTCTCATCTGGGAACAGGTGGCCTCACAGGGTGACTTCAACACATGATCAATGGTGTGATGGCCACAGATGACTGTGAACCCGTGGAACAACCATATAACTTTGATTAATCTTTACAAAGTGAGCCAGAGGATTTTAGTTTTACATTTTTGACAGTGGTTCTCATTCAGCAGGCAGGCAGGCCGGTAAATGTTGCAGAGTTTGAGGAGCTCAGCGGTGTCCGGTTTTGTGACAACCTCCAGGCTACCCTGCTGCCTGAGCCAGATGTTGACACACACATGGAACAAAAGGACTTGCAGTGTTCATTTTGTGACCGTGCTTGTTCATATGAACATCACATGAGATGCTGCACAGTGTTAGAATTTCATTTTTTTTTAAACATGCATCATCACAGCTTTTTGCAACAACCAGGACATTTAAAAATAAATAACCACAAATGAGCTGGCAACATGGTGAACTGTGAGCACATTATAAGCATCTATAATTGAGAGCTAAATAACACATAGAGTTTTCCGTGTACACTCACTCAGGATACAGTATGTTACCACAGCAGCTACAGTTGGTCTGACATATTGATGGTTAACTTGTAAAGTCTAACAGTTCATCCAGAGCCACATTAATCAATCTGACAAACTTGGCTGGATACAAATTAAAACTTGGGATTACATTGTCAGCTCTTCCTTGCATTTTTGCACAACTTCCTTTTTACCTCTTTCAATTATTTTCAACAGAAACACTGAGACCTGTCTTGGGAAGTGAAACAAGCTATGAGAAGAGCGGCACTTTTAGTTTTTTTTTTCCTTCTTTCTTTCAGTTGTTTCAGTCTGCGTAAAGCATGAAGCCGGAGAAGGTGCTGTACTTGTTGTTGTTGCCTCCGTGCGCCTTCCCCCCGTCCAGCTTGATGTAGATTTCATCCCCAGGCTCCAGATGAAGGACGGCACTGTTGCTGGCGTAGTCGTAGTTCTGGTCTGCGTCCTGCGCGATGGCGCTGGCTCTCACCTGAAATTCATTTGAGACGTTTCCTCTGATTAGTTGAACAGTGGGCAGCTTAATCACTCACAGATGTGATCTGTCTGCTTTAAAGCAACACTTATACACATTTGTAATAATTTACGGTGTTTTATGTTACGTCACCTGGAGACATCCTGTGCGTAAAAGCGCACAGTCCAAAAGATGGACTCTAAGCTGTTATGCTGTTTTCAGTATAACTATTTTCTACATGGTCCCACCTGGTTGTTTTTGCAGAGGTCAGCCCACATGCTCGTGCCGTCCCCGCCTCGCATCAGCACGTGGTAAACAAAGAAGTAAATCCCGGGGATCGAACATGTGAACTTTCCGCTTGACGGGTCGTAGTGGTTGCCAAGGTTGGTGACGACGTCGTCAAACTTCAACACTTCGTAGCCCTCGTGCTGCTTCTTCAGCCCCGCGTAAAACGCTATCTTTGGCACGGTGTTGTAGGTGGCTGCGCTGATGGCACCGGTTGGCCCGTTTATCCCCGGTAACCCGGGTGGCCCCGGGGGCCCAGGTGAGCCCCTCTCCCCTGGAGGACCAGCCGGTCCCGGCGGCCCGGGCTCCCCGACCGGACCCCTGGGCCCCATCCTCCCGACGCGCCCCGGCTCTCCCTGCGGTCCCTGGATGAAGGTCGGCAGCGACTGCACCAGCCGGTTGTCTTTCATCGGACTGGTGGCCTTGGCTGTGGCCGCCGTGGCGGTCCCGTGGGAGTCGCACACCATCTGACAAGATCCAAGCATCTCGTAGCGGGCAGGAGTTCCGGCGGAGTTCACCATGACCGGAATCAGAACCACCAACACCAGCACCAGCGCGACGCCACAAACACCAGTTGCGATCATCTGCGCTCTGCGGATCCGCGGCGATCTCCTGATTGGGTGGTCTTCCAGCCTGCTGGCGGGTGAGATGTTTGCAGAAGAAAGAATTGGAGCCGCTCTTTTACTGCGCTGCAACCTCTGGAGGTGGAAAAGTCCATTCAATGTTCGTGCGTAAAAGTGAGCGTCCACAACTTTTCTTTACCCCATGCGGAATCATCCCCACCTCACCGCGCCAAAAAATAAAAAAATAAAAATAAAAAAAACACCTCAAGAGATCTTCTGGTTGCCTGGCACGTGAAGTCTGGGTAGACCCGCAGCTTTCTGTAAGTTTCTGCTTAAACCGGATCCAAAGGAGTGACTGGGCTCTATGGGTTTGAGCAGCGAGGGGAGGGGTGGAGGTGATGGATGGGAAGGAGCCGCGCGCTTCTTCAGTTAAATGAGACAAGTGAACAATATCCAAACACTCTGAAGAACTCTGAAGGTCTGATTGCTTTTTCTTTTAGATGGTCATCTCATTCCCGTGATGATGATTTGATCTTCAGCGTGTTGTTATTGTAGAGCCTATCCAAACAACCTGAGCCTAATTAGGTCCATCTAAGACAAAAGGTCACATCTCTGTGGCTCCCCGTGTCCAATTTATCATTTGGAGAAAATCTATAGAGCCACTGAACGGAAGAGGGAGTCAGTAAGAGTTGGGCGTTGAAGGATCTACTGATGAGATGAATACTGGGAAAACAAACGACTGAATTAGTTACCAGTTGGTGTCTACACAACAGCTGCCAGTAAAATAATAAACCACGTTAGCATAAAATCATCTAGAATTAAATGTTCTGAGCTCCAAAGGTTTGAAGGATGAGGAGATTCTTTTTGTGGATGATGATGATGAGAAGGAAGATGTGCTCATGAAGGACATCGATCCCATTTTGGATAGAAATTCCTGCTTGTTTGTGCAAAACCAGGTTTTGGTTACATCAAGTATATTTTTAGCCGTATATTAAAAAATATCATAATGTCAGAATGTGCCACAAACTGATCCTGTTAAGAAAATATTGATTAATCAACATCTAATCAGCTTTGTTGCTCTTGATTTTTACATCCAGATGTACTGTAAGTGGAGGGATTTTGTATTATTTTAAATTGGTTTTGAATTTAAAATGGTTTAAACTTGTATTTTTCTTTTTGTTTGCAGTATAAATAAAGTGAATTGATTGAGCTCCTTCTGTTGAGTCTTCTTTAAACTGTGGCCCCGAGTTGCAAAAACAAAATCAGACAAGTTACCTGCGCCCAAAAGAAAACCACATTCAGAAACGGCTTCAAAATCCAGGTTGGCAATTAAAAATTGTGTTTTGCAATATTCGTTTTTATATTAGAAATGTGATTATTTTGTTCTTGAGTTTTGTAAATGTGGTAAATATATATAATCTGATTGTGTGTATGTAATATCCTTCATTCATTGAATTATTCAAATAAGACGTTTCTCTCAGTGCTGTTGTGTGTGACTCAGAGTTTGTTTACATCAAGCTCTATAAGTTCACAGCACTTGTGTTTCTTCCTGTTGGTGTTTGTCTGAATCAGAATCAGAATAAACTTTATTGACATTGCACCAAGATACAACGAGAACATGTACGTACAGTCGTCCGAAAGATGGGCGGAGTGCACGAAGCTGCAACTATAAAAAGTGTGGCCCTCATTATTCTTATTCAGAATAATATTTTTGCTTAGATGAGAAAAGGGAAGAAAACATGAGGAGAGACGGTATAAAAAAAAGATCTCTCACAGTGTGTCCTAGACAGGGCACAATCTGAGGCATCAAAATAAAAAACTACCACAGCAAAGCAACATAATCAGACGTTATACATGTACATATAGGCCGGTGAAAATATTGAATTTTTAAGAGAAAGTCGTAGCATAGTCCAGAACTCCCCCCCACCCACCCACCCCCAGCCATTGTCCAGATAAGAGGTGTCATTCATCACCAGCTCGGGTGAGGCTCTGTCACATGTCCACGGCCTTGGGGAAGGGAGGGGTGATGAGACAGACAAAGCATTTTTGTTGTTTTCAAAACATTCCTTGTCCGAGTTGAGATAAGTCTGACGTCAAGGCCATAGTTTGGGTCAGGCAGAACTCATGAATTGCTGTTTCTGCCTTTTTAAAGTCTTGCTGGTATATTCCTCTGATGGAAACTCCAAAACAGCCGAATTGATCCTTTACGCCAAAAGTCGAGCTCACAGCTTTCTCCAAGATTATTCCCACCGTTCATGGGTGCTGCCAGAAAGTTCACAGTCCTGATAACAGCTGCTCCAGCTCCCTGCTGCAGCTCCCCAAATTCAGTCTGAGCGCTGTCGAGTTTCGACACATCCACACAAATTTATAGACAACCCAGAATTCACCAGCCAAACAGCAAAAAGACCAGTTGTCATCATGAATCCAATTTGTTTCCATTGAGGTAAGAGGGTCCTCCTTACCCTGACTCCTGTCGGGAGAAGTTGATCAATTTTGTTGAGAGACCAGCTGATCCTTCGAACTAAGAGGTATGCAGGAAAAAAAAGGCTTTTTAAGGGTTCACAGGACAAAAGAGTGCAGCAGGGAAGCGGGTGGGGGAGAGACCAGGGAGACACGTCTGGTTTCACCAGAGGACAGAGAGAAAAATAAAGGTCACCTCATGGCTCGCAACAAGGTCTTGAGCAAAGGTTTTGACTTCCCTCTTCTGGGGTGCAAAATCTGAAGTTTAGATGAAAACAGAGGCTGGTTAATTTTATTCTTAAGTGAAATAGGAAAGTATTTTATAGCAAATTAAAATGCAATATTTTCAGATGGAGGATGAATTGTCAACTTGTTTGTGTTTTCTGGTTTTTGATTTAGTATAGACATACATTTATGCTTGCAAGTACAGCAAAAGAAAACAATATTTTAATTATATATATATATATATATA